TTTCTAACAAGAATATAATGAAATAAAATTATTATCAAATTCGTAAATATAAAAACTCTAGAGAAATAAAATCCTGACTTTTCAACATCTAGAGCCTATAAATATAATTTTCTCTAGACTAAATTGAATGATAGAATAAGCCATCCTCTTCAAAATGAGACAGCATCGAGTTCTCTGTGGTGTCTTGTGGTTGAAATACAGAAATTTAATTGAAGATAAAAAAAGTAGCTTTTCTATAGAAAGTAGTAAAAAAAATCGACTTTAGGGGCTTCCGGAACATTGCTGTGTCTCATCAAAAACAAAAAAAAAGGTTGCAGAAAACTTGAAGATATATCATTTTGTAGAGATTTGTTTGCTCTATCGTTCTGCGTAGTCTAAACAAAATTAAATTTACGTGGTCTAAGTACAGAAAAATTAGGTTTATGATTTTCTGGAATCTCTATCGTTGAGAATTTGATAATAATTTTTATTCTCGTATATTTCTTTTGGAAACAATTTTCTCTATTCCAATCACTATTTGAATTCTTTCTAACGCTAATGACAATGGAAAAAAAATGAAAATAAACTTTGTTGGATAATTGTGATACCCATTGTATATTAGAAACATAGCAAACAATAAAAGAGATTCATTATTTGTTTAAGTATTTTGTAACTTATGTTCTCAAAATAAATTACTCATCGTTATGATAATTTAAAGGTTACTTGAGCACTAATACTCACAAGTACTTACATTAAACATTAAGTTGATTTAGCAATTAATGTCAATCTAGTAAATTTTATACTTGTTGGAATATTATTATATAATGACAGTGAGCCTACATTATGAAAGAATTAAATATCAGGTACATCTTATAATTATATGAATTGATTGTAGTATTTTGTTTTTATTCATGATATGTAAATATTTATTCGCAATTTCATTTGGGACTTGACAATAGAAAAAAAAATTATTATTATTGAAATAAACAGATAAATGATTAATACATGTGAAAAATAGCATATAAATAATTCGTAAGTTATTCATTATAATCAAACCATTGAGCCTGAACTATATTGATGTTATATAGTCCGTTATGGGATTTATCGGAAATATTACAGTTCAGCCTTGTCTCGCAATACAACTGATAAAAATAAAATAGTCTAAATATTATACTACATGGATAATTTCATTTCATCAAATATCATTGAAGATTATATAACTAAGTTAATGTTCATTCAAGCAAAAGTCTTGTATTCCACATATCAATTATGTTTAACTGATTAAGTATATGAGTAATTATTTATTGTTTTTTGATACTTTAACAATTATTTATATTCATATTTTGACTGTTTTATTCAATAATAATAGTTAATTCTAGAAGATATGCTTGATTTTTCTTAGAAAATTATTGGAGTATATTCATAATCTTTATAGAAGGCCACAATAGTCCTAATGAAAATAAAAGAATGAATAAATATATAAATAATTCTTCTTCTAGACTAATTTTTAATAAAGATTACCTAAGGTAAATAATAATCATGAAGATGTTTTGATAGAAAACGTCAAATAATAACTACAATCCGCTACTGTGTTTCTAGATAAGGCGATTGTATCGATAGCATCACTAGACGAAGATACCTAAGAAACAAAGAATTTCTTTTCTATTACGACATTTCTAAAAAGATCATTTAATTCTAAGATACAAACAAAAAATAGAGATTTATATATATTCATTATATACGAACTTAAAAAAAGTTCGATTAGAAATGATAGAAGTCAAGGATTTTATTTTTTGTTTTGAAAACAAAAACATCTTCTATCAAGAATGAAAATAAAATTTAAAAAAAAATAGAAATAAGTTTATTGTACAATTATTATCTGTATTCAAAAATTGATTAATAAAATGGGTTCATATTTCATATGTATATTAAAAAAAAAGAAAGAAATTAAAATACAGCTGAAAAATGTCACCATTATTGTAAATAATGGTTGTAACCTTCATAAATTATTAAAAAAATAATAAATAACAGAAATTTATTAAGAAAATTACATTATTGCTATTTCTTAATCTATCAAAGAAGTCAATTCTACATTGAATCAATAGTTTTATTATGAAAGAATATTTTGGAATATTTCTGATGCATATAAGCAATAAACATTTGTTTAATTAATGATAAAAACATGAAGTATTATTCTGAAATCAGAACGAAGATAATCATATTTTGAATTTCTTTGCTTTGTTTTTGTTTTCGTTTTGGAAGAAGAATAATTTTGAATTTCAAATTCAATTAGGTAATCAATATTAATTATGATTGTAAGAGAATTGCTATCAAATGTAAATTAAATATTATTTGATCTTTGTCATCATGATATATTATGCAAAGTTAACAAAAAAAACAAACCTAATTTTCGTTGATCTAAATCATAAATATCTACACTTGGTGATTATGCCACAAGGGACTGTTTATCATTTCTTATATTTAAGTGCTTTTCGTGCTTTTCGATTGATTATACAGAAAAGATAGCATGTCTGATGATTAGAAAAGAGTACTACAAAAAGTATTGCTTGTCACAACATGTGGACGATGTGAATGAATTATTTTGTACTTCTAAATAGAAGTATCTATGATACCTTGATTTTGGTTTTGTGTTCTTCTTATCCTTCTGAATCTTTTATCAGGATTAATGGCGTTCACTAACACTAAAGAATAGATGCTTAGCGGAGCATTAAAAGTAGCTAATAAGAAAAGTGTGTGTGTGTGTGCATTAGTAGGATTTCCTGTCAAAGATTCGATAAAAAATGTACGTTTGACGTTTATCGTTACGGCTCAATAATATAATAATGATTATGTATAACGAGACAAGTGAACATTTTTGTTATTTTTTTCCGTGCAAAGAAATATTTTTCATCTTATCGTTTGACGCGTCGTATGACATTTGCCTTGAGCACCTCGTTATTTTAACTATTTCCTTTTTGTATTCTGTTCTTTATTCTATCGTTGGATATTTCTGTTGGGAGAAAGATTTTACTTTCTGTTTCTTTTTGTTCTTGAAAAAAATCAACATTGAAATTAAGCAAATTTTGATGAGAACATCATAGTTGTTTGACGGTGCATTTTAATCAATTGATCCTTTAGTACGACAACGTCTGGCGTGCCGATTGGGGTAAACTTTACTATAAAATTTTTTTTTCATCCGCCGTAGTTCTATAATTGTCGTTTTGTTAGTAAATGACTATGGAAAAGCACGTTCAAATGTAATTCGATCGTCGTCGTTGTTGTCATTGCTTCTCATTTTTCCTTTTTTTTTTTTACCGGCGATCAGAAAAGAAATTGCGTATATATACTAAATCTTTGACAGTTTATACACTCACGTACACGTATAAAATTCCTTTACTCCATGATACATATGTTATGTTACGTTCAAGTTCTTTTTTTTCCTTTACATAAATAATATACAAAGAAGGAGGAGTGATGCTTCCTGTTTGTGTTGACCAAATTTAAATATTTGATAAAGATCTTTGATCTCTCTGCATGGAGAAAAATATTAAATAGAATACATTCATCGTCCAAATTTTCTTGTCAGTCAGCCAAGTCGTGAGGTGTGTTTATGAATGCGTGTGTAATCTAATCGGAGTAGAAGGAAAAAGGTGTCTATCAGAGAAAATGGTAAGAGGACAAGCAAACAAAATAGAAGCAAAGAAAAATGTTTCAAAATGAGCTAAATATCGTTTCTCGCTCTTTTGCTTTGCTTTCTCACGAGCACATTGTTGAACGCGCACAGATTAGAGACAAAAGAAGCGAGAAAGTATATATATATGCAGTGACGTCAAGGTAAGAAGAAATGGAAGTTAAGAAAAACAGAGCAGCGAGGGAAGAATCATCGTTTTAGCATCGACTGGTAAACGTCACGGGCAGACGAACGTCTTTACATTACTCATCAACTCATTCGTTGTCTTTTCAGTACGCTCATTTACTTTTTCTTCTTTATTACTTCAATGACGTCGTCGGCAATTTCATCTTCTTTGCTAGGTTTCATCAGTTGAATAGTAGATCTTGATTAAGAAATAAACAAAAAGAAAAAAGTAATGATAGAGGAAATAGAAAGAATAGCTTTGTTTATATATTCAACGGCATGTCGAAGCTCACAAACATAGTTGAGTTGTAGCAGTAACATATACTCGACAAAATGACGACGGCAACAACAATTAGCTTGAAATCATTTCATTTTTGTTTTCTATTTCTTGTTGGTTAATGGCTATCACTATTATCGTCATTAACCATATCTTACTAAAAACAGGTAATGTTATCACTTTAAATAAAACTAATGTTCAGCTTAAAACTCAAACAAAAATAAAAATAAGCCATTCATTTTGATTATAAATTATACTAAAATAATATTTTGATTTTCATTATTATTATCAAAATGAAAAAATTAGAAATAATGATCAATTATAATAAAAAAAGAGCAGTGAAAAATATTCAAAAAGATAGATGAATGTTAAAAATTTCGCATACATTTTTCTCGTGAAATGAAAAAATGTGAAAATCCAGAAAAAAAAAAAAAAAAAAAAGAAACATTGATATCCAGCTGTGTGTATTTGTTGAACAATAGGATCTAATTGTTTTCAAGGTTATAGATTCTAAAGAATTATTCATTCCAGAGAACATATAAATTTCAATGTATAATCTTCATTTTCTATATTATCTTTTAAGAAGTTTTAGTATATTGTTGAAGCAAAAGTGATACTTAAAATGTAACGAGAAATCTAAAGAGTAAACTGTTTAATCTTCTGAAATTTTATACTTTAAAAATGTACTCTATCAAAAAAAAATACGAGTGCTTAATTATCCGTATTTCCAAATCGTTCCACCTATCATTAGTTTTATATTTTGCGGATGTAACTTCTCAATTTAATTGAACAATCTATTTCTAGATTTATATTTGTTTATATGAAGCATATTAATGAAGGTGTATCTTCGTCGTTGCCCTTACCATCCACAGCAACGACTGGACACCGATGCATCTCATTCCATTACAAAATCAAGTAGGTTTATATATATAGATAGATAAGTAAATAAATAAATATATATATAGAGGATCTTTCATTTTCCGATTTTTCCTCTTTCTCTTTTAAAAAAAAAAAAAGAACTCTCGAATTTGTTCCGGTTGCACAGAGTATAAATATGCATTTTCCCATTGTAAAATAAATCTTTTTTTGTTTTCTTACCTTTTTTCTGCATTCTTCTTTTTTTTTTCTCTTTTCTTCTATTCCATGGTTTCTTAGCTGGTCTCTCTTGGCTTTTTTTGTGTTTGCTATATATTTTTTCTTCTTCATCTAATTTAATGGGAAGAGAGAAAGAGAGAGAAAGAGCAATGCTGTTATAGCCTCGTGATCACGGCACGCTGTTGAACTGCTAACGAACCTAATCCTCGAAAAACGGAGTAAAATGCAGTTGGACGATTCTCAATCCATTGTCGCCTAAGAATCGATAACGACAAAAAGAGAGAGAGAGAGAGAGAGTGAAAGAGAAGTAGGGAAAGGAAAGCAACAGACATTCGACTTTTATCTTCATGTTTGATTATTTCTTTTTTTTTTGTTAGTTATTACTTGTATATTTAGACGAGCTCTAGAGCATTAATGCCTGGCTCACGACGTGGCTTGGTTGCACCTCAAAATACTTTCCTTGAATCGATTGTCCGTAAATGCAGTGGTGCTCGTAAGTATAGTATTTTATTTGTAATTGACCAAATTTACATTTTGTTCATTTGAACAACTCCAAAAAAAAAAGAGCAGCAAAAGATCGTCACAAAAAAAAAATATTTTAATTTTCATGATTGATTTCATGAATGTAAAATTTTTCTTTCTTTTTTTTTTGGCTTTAATTCAAATCAAGTAAATTACACAGGATTTCGACTGTTTCCTTCAATTGAAGTCATAGTTATTCATGTGAATAAAATATTCTGATTGTTTTTTTTTGCTTCTTCAATTTTTATCTTATTAAATCTATTGAAGAGAAATGGGTGCAATAGTTCAATAATATTTCCTGTCGCACTTTCACATGCATACACACACGAAACCAATAATTTCCCTATACGCATAAAATGAAGGGATAGCTTATACCTGTAGACAACTGAATTGGCGACAAATGTTCTTTTAGAATAGCAAATGAGTAATCCTATGGGAAATACAAATACATTTTCATTAATTCGCCTTCAACATTCATATTGAAAATATTCGTGCATGCTTGTACTACGTCATTTCTATCAGCACCTGTCGAAAATTAAAGGAAGACAATCAATTAAAGAAAATGAATAGAAATAAACCACCTGGCTCACACTGGACTTCCGATCGAGTAGCTAATGTCTTTATTCTTATCATTTAAAAAATCTTAATATTTCCAAATGACGGAGCTTGCGTATATCATATAATACGTCATTGATAACAAGTTAGATTAGTAATAAATCAAATATTATTTATTTTGAATAAAAAGAAAAGAAAAAATTTATACTTATCTTTTTATATTTAAATAATTAGACACCGCGTTCATATTATCCAATGCTCAAATCGTTGAGTATCCAATTGTTTATTCAAATGATGGATTTACAAAAATATCGGGTTATTTAAGAACAGATCTAATGAATAAAAGTTCAACATGTAATTTTATGTATGGTGAACTAACTAGTGCCGATACACAAACAAAAATACGTGATGCATTAGAGAATTGTCATATTGAACAAGTTGAAGTTCTTTTATATAAAAAAAATAGTATGTTTATTTCTTGTTAAAATTGTTTTTTTTTTTCTTTTTAATTTATTTCTTCATACAGAAACTCCAATATGGGTATTTATGCAAATAGCTCCTATAACAAATGAACGCGATACAGTGGTGCTTTATCTGTGTACATTTACAGATATTACTGCGCTTAAACAACCAATTGAAACTGAAGATACGAAAGGTTCTATTTTCTTTTCTGTGATTTTAATTAAAAAAGAAAAAAGAAAACATTATTAATTATTAATAGGTGGTCTCAGTAAGTTTGCACGTATAGCAAAATCTGTTACAAGAAATCGGTCGATTTTAATGAATTTTACTACACCAAATGCTAAATCAACACATATTGATTCAACGAAACCATCCCAATTACCTAATGTAAATTCATCATATGAAAAGAAACAAAGCAAATTATTTAATTGTTTGCTTTCTATTTTAGTTACTTAATCTAAGTGCAGAAGTATTGCCGGTAAATGAGAAAAATTTTTCTTTTATATAATTGATAATTAAATGTTATTGATTTTATAGAGTTATCGACAAGAAGCACCAAGTACACCACCACATATAATTCTTCATTATTGTACATTTAAAACAGTATGGGATTGGGTGATCCTTTTGTTAACATTTTATACATCATTATTAGTACCATATCATGCAGCATTTCGAAGTAAATCATTAGATGATGTGCCATTACTTGTTGTTGATAGTATTGTCGATGTTATTTTCTTTATTGACATTATATTAAATTTTCACACAACTTATGTACACACAAGTAAGAAATACAAGATTAAAATGGAGATATTTTATTTTTAATTGTGTTCGTATTATTGTTTTTTCAAGAATCTGGAGAAGTTATATCTGATCCAAAACGGATTCGAAAAACTTATTTAAAAAGTTGGTTTGTTATTGATTTATTAGCATGTTTACCATATGATGTATTTAATGCATTTCAAGAAGCTGAAGAAGTAAATTTTTAAATATTTTAAAAATAAACTAAATCTTTTTTCTTTTGTTTATTTTATTTTTCTTTAAAAGATTGATATATTTCAGCGATATGGAAGTATATTTTCAGCATTAAAAGTTTTACGTTTATTACGTCTTGGTCGTGTCTTTAGAAAATTAGACAATTATTTAGAATATGGTGCAGCCGTGCTTTTATTATTGATTTGTGTTTTTGTACTTGTTGCTCATTGGTAAATAGCGTAGAAAAGAAAAAAAAAAAAAAAAACTTTTAAACAATTGTTATTTTTAACTATAGGTTTGCTTGTGTATGGTATACAATCGGATTTCGAGAAGGCAGAGGCGGTCCTGGTAAACGAGTATGTATCGATTAATTTTATTTTATTTCTTTTCGAATGCATTGGAATATCAACATTATAAACCGCTTAGAATCGCGTGAAAACTTATTCTATTTTTATTCTTATCGATCGATTAGATAGAAATTTTTATATTATTAGAAAAAAAAACAAATAAATGCTATATGTTATTATATAATAAGTGAAATCTATTTCGAAATGAAACTATAAATGATTATATCATATATAGACACGCTCAAAAATTTTTCATTTATTTGTCGAAATTAAATTTTATATTCATTTTTGAAATACTCATTAAAAAAATAATAATATCATTTATTCTCAAGATAATGAATAATAACATGAAGTTTAAGACTTTGATCTTTCTCTTTCATTAAGTTCTAATAAGTTAAGAAAAGACTTATTAAAAAAAATAGAATAGTATAGTTTTATGTTCATAAAACCTCGAACAAGAGCGATAGAATTATAATAACTTTCTATAATATACTCAATGACTCAATTAAGAGCTACTTTAGCTTTTGAGAGAATTTATATCAGTTGAATTGTTCTAAAGAATTTTTACGACAATATTATACTTATTCAATTGTAGAAGGATTATGACGTTCTATGAGACATATTTGACGTAGTTCTTTCGTAAGATTTTAAATACAAAGATAAATAGAAAAAAAAAAACGCAAAACTTGTTCATTGTGATAAGATACTTGCAGAGATTAAACGTGTAAAATATTATGTATTATATATTAAATGATTTAGGTTTTCTTGGGTGATTAAACACATAGACGCGTGACATACATTTTCAAATATTAAATAGTATCTTCTGGGCAACATTAAATACAAGAATAGTTTGTTTTTTTCAGAGATATGTGTGGTTGTTCTGTCGTCTAGCGCAAATCTCCATGGAATGCATGTTGCTTTATCTCATGCTTCTATTCACGCTGAAAAAACATTGAAGAAATGATTTCGCACTTTCGAAACATTTTCACCGAGCAGGAAAACAAAAAGGCGTATGAAGCCTGAGATATTTCCATCTACCTTTGGTTTCTCTATTCTGAATTATTCATTGAAATAAATTTTTTTCTTTATATTTATTTCTAAACAGATGGAATACAGTTGGTTAGTAAAAATGGATAGAGAATTACATTATGCATGTATTGATTCTTATGGTAATTTAACAGCATATGAATCAAATGGTACATGTCGTAAAGCAGCTTATGTAACAGCACTTTACTATACAATGAGTTCATTAACTAGTATTGGTTTTGGTAATGTTGCTGCAAATAGTGATAATGAAAAAATCTTTACATGTGTTATGATGCTTATTGGTTCATTATTATATGCAACTATATTTGGTAATGTCACAACAATATTTACACAAATGTATTCAGCTACTGCTCGATATCATGAAATGTTAAGTAGGTATGTAATTATTCGAAAAAAGAAAAAAAAAAAAAACTTTCAAATAATTGATTTATTATTATTTGAATAAATATGGTGTATTTTGTTTTTCTCTTAAGTATTCGAGAATTTATGCGTTTACATGGTATGCCGAATCAATTAAATGAACGTATTATGGATTATGTTGTATCAACATGGGCTATGACAAAAGGTATTGATGCAACAAAAGTATTAAATTATTGTCCAAAAGATATGCGTGCGGATATATGTGTACATATGAATCGAAGTGTATTTAATGAACATCCAGCATTTCGTTTAGCTAGTGATGGTTGTTTACGTGCATTAGCTGTTCATTTTCATATAAATCATTCTGCACCTGGTGATATGTTATATCATTGTGGTGAAAGTCTTGATATGTTATGTTTTATTGTATCTGGTTCATTAGAAGTTATTCAAGATGATGAAGTTTTAGCTATACTTAGTAAGTTTTGTTTCTTTTTTGACTTTTATTATTGAAATAAATTTTTATTTTCTAGGTACCAATGATGTATTTGGTGATGATTTTTGGAGTAAAAATCGAGATAATGTTGGTCAATCAGCAGCTAATGTTCGTGCATTAACTTATTGTAATTTACATCAAATACGACGAGAACGTTTACTTGAAGTATTAGATTTTTATCATCCATTTAGTGTTTCATTTGCTCGAAATATGGTGCTTACATACAATCTAAGACATCGTGTATGTTTATAATTTAACTAAAATTTATTTGTATTTATTTATTTTTATTATTATTAATATATTCAGGTTGTATTTCGTAAAATAGCTGATGTTAAACGTGAACGTGAATTAGCTGAAACAAGAAAAAATGAAGGTTTAGATCAAATTAGTTCTGATCATCCTGTACGAAAATTAATATCGAAATTTCGTAAAATTTCACAAGAAAATCGTTCGGCTGCACAAAATAACCCAAATTCAAATATATCATTAGTAACATCAAGTAATTCCATCCAACAACCATCATCATCATTACCTGTTATACCAGAAACAGTTATACAACCAGCCAGTGCAGAACCATTAGATTCATCACCAACAACAAATACAGCTCCATCAGCATCATCTCTTCTACATTTACAATTACCTATTTCATCTACTAATAAACAAAGAGATAAATTAGAAACAATATCTGAACGTATTGAAACACAAGATTCTCAAATATCACAAATAACATCTGTTAATCAAAGTCCACCATTACAACGACCACCAAAATCAAGTAAATGGAAATGGTTAATGAGTGGCGCAACTGAACCTAATAATAATACATCATCAAAACCTCTTCTTTCAAATACTAAACCATCAACAACACAACAAAATACAATAAATCCATTTGATACGAAACTATCTGATGATGATGAACTAACAAAAATAACAGATAACAATGAAAATCGACAATCGATTCCACTTAGTTTATTTATACCACGATCAGCTCAACAGACAAAATCATCAGAAGAAGGAACTAATGATCAAGTAAGTCATTTGAAGTATTTAAAAATTAAATTCTGTGTTTTTTTTTCTTGTTTTATTTATTTAAATTTAGAAACCATTGGAAGACTCTCATTCGGAGATAAATTTAGCTTTTTCATCACATCGTAGTGTATCATCACAATTTGGTGATCATCAATTATTATCATCATTAATTGAAATAAAAAGTGATCTCAGTACTGAAGTACGAGCATTAACTAAACGTATGTCGCATATTGATGAGCAGATTAGTCAGATTTTTAATTTTCTTTCACCAATCAATAATAATAATAATAATAATAATACATCAGCAATGACAAATACTTCGTCATCAAATCCAAAACTACCTCCATCATCACCACCAATACAACCAAAAATGTCACTATCATCTCCAGCAGCATCACTATTACCATTAACTACAACAGTATCATCTGAAACGAATCCGAGTTCTCTTTCGATTTCACCATTGTTTGAAACACCTTCATTCTATTCAGATTTAAATGCTAAAGTATCACTTTTTGATGATGATCGACCATTACCAACAACATCAACAGATATACATGATCTTCCTCGACAATCACGAGGAAGTGAACAACCTCTTTCAACACCACCAATACGTCAAATAAGTGGTTATGATGGAACAACACTTTCCATTCCGCCACCACCATCCATTTATAATCGTTCAGCGAGTTCATCAATAATTAGTTTAGGCTCATCCACAACATCTCGTAGTTCAATATCAAATAAAATAGCACCGGCACCAGCACCACCATCACCTATTAATTCAAAACATCCATTAGGTACAACATTTCAACCTATATCAAATACACGTTATAATCCAGGTCGTTCACCTAAACCAAAAACTCGTTTACATCATCATGGTCGAACTAGTGGTAAATATCAACAACAAGCAAGTTCTGAAAAATCAACAATCATTGAACTTGAACCATCAACACAAGAAAATCTATCAAGTAAAAATGCTCCACTTCTATCAACACCTAGTAAAACAACATCAACAACAAAATCAAGTACTAGCGTTTTTCGTCGTTTTATAACAAGTGGTAATAATACAGAAAAAACAACAGCAACAACAGCATCATCATCACCATCAACACTTCTCTATCCACGAACAAGTGATGATGAACAACCAATGAGTCCTGCTAGTTCAGGTAATGATGATGATGATTATCGATTATTAGCATCAACATCTAGTAAATATCATCATCAAACACCTCTATAATGGAAAAGAAAAAAAAAAAAAATATTATAATTCTTTGTATTCTCATAGCTTAAATTTCATAGGGGTGAATTGATGGATGTTTTTGTGATAAAAAAATTTCCCCTCTATCTCTCTCTTTTTTCTATCTCAATTTTGTACATGTTCACCGGTGCATATTTTTCTGCATTTTTGTTTTTTCTTTAAATGTGTGTATGTGTTAACTAGTCAGTCAATTATGACTACTTTCTTTCTTCTTTGTTTTTTTTTCCTCCTATTGTTCTCTCCTATTCACACATGTCTCAGATTTTCTATAATTGCTGATGCTTTTCTTTTTCAACTACACTAGTTTGTTTTATTTTCTGTTTTGAAAATAAAAAGTTAAAAAATATTAATGCATTCAGTAAAATAGAAGAAAAAAAAACCGTTTAGATTTGTTTTTCTTTCTTGTGAATGAATTGATGATAGATTTTTTACATTTAAAAATTTTATATCTAAAATTATATTTGAATGAAAGTATGGCATACAATTTTGAAATTAGAAAATTTTAACATGATAATCATGCAATAGTTGTCTATCTGGAACCTAGAATATGTAAGATTAAAGGCGAAACAATGCGTGTTAGTTTAGATCAATTATTCCGACGTTCATATTTTAGGAAAATGTTTAATATCAATCAATAGAAAAATCTATCGTGAAAATTGTTCTCAGTATGTAGTACAAAATAGTTACATGAACCAGTCATATTTCATGTTTTTGTTTTTCTATAGAGTTTCTTTTTTTTGTATGAATTAATGACAGAACAACGAGTGAATATTTTAGAACTATTTTTTGATTCAATTCATATGAAATAAATGACAGATAAATTAATTCCAACTTGTATTAAATTCAGTAAATGTTTCAAAAACATAGACAAGTACATTTTAAATGATTTTAAAGAAAAGAAAAAAGCTCTAGTCTTTTTTATCAATAGATTAGTATGAATTAATAATTCGATAAAAATTAAATACACATCAATTATTTGTTAGTTTGCATTATGCTCATAGTTTTTTTAAAGTTATATATGGTGTCTAGGAAAAAAACGAAGAATAATGCTGATCTTTCTTTGCATGGAAATATAACGAAAACAGCAACGATAATAAATTGAATACAAAATGAAAGATAACGTATCATAGATTTGTACGATAAAACAAAAGACAATAGTTGATTAAAAAATAAATAATGATCTGTACAATGGGTTTGTTACCTATTTCTTTTATAACTAACTGAATCATGATCTCATTTTCTATTTTTTTACTATTTGAATAAATCAATTCATAAAATGGTGATTTGTCAGATAATCAGCGTATTCATCTAATCCAAGAAGCATTGATCTTTTCAGGTTTTATTTTAGTTGAAAAAAATTTTTTAATATCTTTCCATCATAATTATTTGAATAAAATATACGAGTATACATATCGATTCATATATATATATAAAGGGTGTCCCAGAAGTTCTGTTACAATTTTGAAATTCATCGTTCTCGCGTTCAACAAAAGGCAAACTTCTTGAAACTTTGGCAGATTATTGTACCTATCAAGTACTACATAACTACAAAGTTTGAGGTCTATAAGTTCTACTATAGCGGAGAACTTGTAACAACAATATGAGGTACTATTTGTAAAATTTTCCTGTATTCCAGGTCTGCCAAAATATCTATATTTCGGCTTAGGGAGATGATAAAATCTTGAATTGTTTTTTAAAAGATGCACCGTGAAAAGCTCTACATAAATTGTAATAACAAATCCTTATTGACTTGTGTTAATGGCTTCTGTCATAAACAAAATGAAAAACATGCATGATAGTACTACTTCTCACCATATTGTGCGTAATAAAAAAATGTTTGGAGGATCTTTTTGTTTTGCATGTATCTCAGCTTGAGAAAATGATAAAATCTTGATTTCTTTTTCAAAAGATGCACCGTCGAAAGCTCTACAAAAGCTGTATAAACAAATTCCTATTGGGAAGCAAAAAAGTCTTCCAAACCTTTTTTTATTAAGCACAATATGGTGAGAAGTAGTACTACCGTGGAAATTGTTCATTTTGAGTATGGCAGAAACTATTAACACAAGTCAATAGGTATTTGTTATTGCACTTTTTGTAGAGCTTTTCACGGTGCATCTTTTAAAGGAAAATTCAAGATTTTATCATTTACCTAAGCTAAGATATAGACGAAATAAAAAAATGTTGCATACCTCGAAGATGACCAGGAAAATTTAAAAAAATACTACATGTCAGTGTTGTTATGGTATCTCATCCATAGTACAACCTATAGATCTCAAACTTTGTAGTTATGTAGTACTTGATAGGTACAATAATCTGCCAAAGTTTCAAGAAGTTTGCCTTTTGTTGAACGCGAGAACGATGAATTTCAAAATTGTAACAGAACTTCTGGGACACCCTTTATATGTTTTTCTTCATTTAAAAAGAATATCATGTGGACAAAAGCACAATGACAAGACACACAAAAAGCAGCGATTAACTTTTTTTTTTTTAAATTGTTAATATAAATAAATTATTAAATTTTTTTATGCAGTTGATTGATTCTACAATAATAATAATAATAAGACAAAGTATAATTTTACTAATCTCTTATGAAAAACTTACAGAATCAAAATCAAGATTATTGATTGAATGTATTGGATCATCAAGTGAATCATTTTCTGTTCGATTAGTGGTTACCTAATTAAAAGTAAAACAAATTTTACGAAAGAAAAATTTCAATCATATATTCTCATACATTTTTTGAATCTGATGAACGATTCTTTTTCTCATTTTTTTCAGTATTATCTTTTGTTTTTTCATATTTATCAAGTTTTGAAGCTACATTATCAATCTAAATTAATTCAAATCTTAAAAATAAATTCGAATTTTTTCAATTTTATTTTTATACCTTATTTAAAACAAATCCAACTGATGCTTCCATTGAATCAAGTCGTTTAGATAAATCATTATATTCTTCAATTGATACTTCATGTGCTTGTAAACGTTTTACTGATACTGTACTTGCCTTTCTTCTAGCATCAACTTCATTATTTAAATTATCCACTGGCATACTAAATAAATCAAAAAGATTCTAATTTAATTACAATATTTTGTATTTTATTTTACTTATTCTTTGACATGTTTAATTCATCGATTTCTCTAAGAATAGCATCATTTTGTCTTAATAAATCATTACTTAATGCACGTTGTTCATTTTCATCTAAAACTCGATCACCATTAAAATCATATTTAGCAAATATTGTTTCAATTTCTTCTTCAGCATAACCACGTGATTTCATTTCTGTACGCCATTCATCAAATTCCAAAAGTCTATCACGATTAAGATCAGCTAATGATAATGCTTTACGAATATCAGCTATACGATCACGTTTAACTGTTAACCGTTCACGCATTTTAGCATAACCTCGTTTAACAAAATCACTTAATTCAAATTCATTTTTCTTATTTCGTAATTCAATTTTAACTTCAACATATGTATCATTAATTATAGCCAAAAACATATTTAATAAAACAAAAAATACGAAAAATACATATGTTAAAAAGAATAATGGTCCTAATAATTAAAGAAAAATATACATTAAATGTTATGAAAAATATTTCATGTTTTTGTCTTACCAAGTACACGGTGAGCTTGCTGAAGTGATTGAAAATCAAAAATACCCAAAATAATTAAAAATAGTGTATAACTAAAATAAATTAGATGTACGATAAACATATATATATATATTGATCAATTGATTTTTTTTTAATTAACTTACACCGAATATTGAAATGCTCGAAAACTTTCAACTTGAATACCAAATGTTAAATAACCAAGTTGGGCATATGCAAAAAATATAATAAAAAACATGATAGCAAAACCAGATATATCACGTGCGCATTTTGCTAATGTTTCACTTAATTGTGTCATTGTTTTATTAAAACTAATATATTTAAAAACTTTAATCCAAGCCAAGAAAATAGTTATACTTAAAATGATATTAAATTGATATTGCCAATAACATAAAAATGTAAAATCATTATATTTATTTATATCATTTTCTAATAATGTATCAAGTAATGAATCAACTTGTACTTGTCGATAAATATTAAATGCAATACAAACATAAGATAAAAGAATAATTACAATATCCAAACAATTCATAATAGATTTAAAATATTGGAATTTGAAATTACGAATCTTTAGAAACGAAAAAAAAAAAAAAACCTTTTTTTTTTTCAAAAAACAAAAAATTTACTACAAAAGAAATCTTTACTTCTAAAATTTCTTCAATTGTATAGTAAGCAATAAATAAAATAAAAAGTATTTCACAACCTAAGACAAAATAATCGAATGTATGAACATAACGAATTAATTTAACAGCACGAAATATTGATGATGTTATTAAACCACCAACGGCTGGAAATTCAAAAATAAGTCTATAATAATAACCAATTATATTTATATTTATTAAAATTATATAAAAAATCTAATATTTAGCTTACTGTACTTGACAAAATAAATTCAAATTAGCATTATAAACTGTAAAATCTACTAGAACTGCTCGAGTACCACGTGCAATCCAAAGACTAGATCATTATAAATATAAAAAAAAAGAACAAGAAAATCTATTATCTTACGAAGCTTTTAATTCTTCAATGTCGTTCATAAATTGATCTTGTGTTGAACCAAATGTTTTAGTATAACCACCTTGATCATAAATACTAACTTGTCCTGCTGTACTTAATCCAAACCATGACATTGATGGTGTATATTTAAACCTAAATATAAGCATTATTTTGTTATTTTTCTTTTATAAAATAAAACCTTACGCTTCATAAGTACAATTTTCAGGATCTAAATTTTCACATGGTCCAAATGTAACTTTATCTTCATAGATTGGTCCATAAGAATTGTAACAAAATTTTATTTCTTCTTTAAAATCATCAGCAACAAGACAAGAATTATTTCGAACTTTTTTTTGACGCATTTGAACAGCACCTAATAAACGATTTTCATGTAATATATAACCATAATTGCTAACATTGTCATTATTGTACCATTGTTCAGTAAAAAACCCAGGAGCAGCAATATCATTCATATACTATTTGAAAGAATAATTTATAGAAAAACGAATATTTTTCTCTATTTTTACCTGCCAAAAATCTTCCATACTATCAAGATCTACAAATGATGGACCTGTTTGATTATTTATTTCATCAGTTAATTGTGGATTAATAAAAACGCTCTGTAATGCTTGAGTCAATATCAACATATTGGTACTAACCATACCGTATACCACTAGAAAAAAAATATCAAAAACAAAAACAAAAATTTAATTTGAAATTTTTTCTACCGATCGATAGAATAGTTAGAAAAACCATATAAACAATAAGTTCACGAATAGTTGTTCGAACATATCTATTTTTATGTTTTTTACGATCAATTCTTTCTGTTTGTTGTGTTGCCCAAAGCTCTATAATATCATAAATAATATTCTATTATTAAAAAAAAACAAGAAGTGAACTAATACAAAATTACTTCGAATTAATAGTAACAACTTTTTACATTCATTTTCTTGAAATTGATTTTGTCTTGTCGATTGTTTCTGTTGTTCAACTTGACTAACTGGTACTCCATCAACATACAATGTACCATCAATATACACTTCACTTTCCATGCCACCTGGTGTCTCCTCAATATAGGCTGGCGGTGGTGATGATTGCTTTTGTTGATGTTGATAGGACATGATTACCAATGCTAACCTTTTATTACTTTCTCTTATAGATAAATAACTATATCAGAATAAAACTATGTATACTTTCTCGATTACAAAAGCAAAAAGACTGAGAAGAAAAAAAAAAAGAATTTAATTTTCTAACTATGTCAATTCTTCTTTTTTTGTGTGTATGCTTTGTGTGTTTCAAAAGGATGGAAAATAAATTAAACTTAGAAGACAAAAAGAAACTAAGTAAATTGTTATGAGAACATAGAAAACGAAGAAAAATCTAGAAGCATATCTCAGGAAAAAAAAAGCAATGGCACTTTTTTTTTCTTTAACAACAACTATGAATTTTTTTTTTTGTTTTTGAAGAAAAAAAAATAATCATTTAATCGACGTCTTGATGAAACAAAATAACATTAGCAATCGTCAGAAAAATTGCGCGCTTTTTTATTTTTATTACCAGAAATGTATGATGATAGAGTACAAAGGGAAAAAAGAAATTATTTGAATTTAATAAAATTTAAACAAAGAAAAAAGAAAGAGAAGTCAAGACAAAATGAATGTTCAGAGAGATATAGACATTATGAAAAAATAATTCCAAGTCCTTCAATAGATCGTGACCAACGAATAATAAGATATTCATAAGATCTTAAATAAATAGAGCTCATATCAATCAATGCATTTGTTTCATATTTTTTGTCATCGTCTGGCTTATTACTTAAAACGATTTCAACTGCATCTATTTTTCCTTCTTTTAATGTAATTCTATCGTTTTCATCCTTGTCATTAAAATTAATGATAATCATATGATGTTTTTCACCTCGTCTTGTTAGTTCAATGGTTAACCATTTTGACTTCTCAAGAATAGTTTGGTGAATATGACCAACACGAAAAACAGCTTTTTGTGTAAGTTCTATTATTTGACGAAGACGACTGAGTTGTTTACTTGATAATTGATGTCCTTGTCGATCAATATCAATAGCAATGGAACCATTATGAAATAGACATGCAGCAAAAAAAGCTTCATTTAATTTAGAATCTGATGATAAAGATGACCATAGAAATGCTTGGTTGTTTTTAAAAAATATTGAATTATAGTATTCCTTAAATAATTCTGTTAAATTAGTTTTATGTTCATTAACTAATGTATATTTATTTATTGAAGCTAGCTGTACACCACCTAAATATTTATTTTTATCACCATAATAACGTGTTAATAATTTTTCATTAGATGTAGATAATGAATCGATTGTATCAAGAAGTAAGATTTTTTTCTTGTCGATTTCAGCTCTAATACGTGCAAGTAAAAGATAATCTTCATCAAGATGTCTCAATCGACTAGTATTATTATTTGTTTCATTATTATATTCATAATCTTCATATGCAAAACTAATACCTTGTAAATTAAATCCATCGATTTGAAAATTTTTATTCCAATAAGAAAATGAATTAATCATATCATTAAATACACGATTATTCCGATAATTAATATCAATAGAATCATTATCATTATTAAATTGATGTAAATAAAATGATTTTTTTCTATTGTTGTAAGTCCATGCTGATTGTTGATTGTCATTAGTTGTCATCCAATTACTAATATTACCTTCGTCGTTCCATACAAAATAAGAATCATTATTTGAAATAAAATAATTTGATTGAATGGATAGATGATTTAATGGATAATCAACAACTATTTGAATATGTTCTTTATGTGCTTCATTAATAAGATTAGTCAAATCATTTTGATTACCAAAATTACTATCAACATTTTTCCATTCTATTGGATTTAATTCATTTGATAATGGAAAAACTGGACTAAGCCAAAGAGCTTGTAGACTAAAATTAGCTTTATAATCAAGAAGTTTTGCAGTTAAATTATCAAATTTCATTGTACGAGTTGACAAACGTAGAAATACACCTTTTGTCCACCATGATGTTGCAGGTGCTTTTTCACAACGTGGATAACGTGCAATACAAATGATTATCACTATAAAATAAGCAGTTTGAAGTAGAATATAAATTAGAGCACTAATTATTCGTGCTCGTTTAAGCCATGGTGTTGATGTTATTGGTGAATTTGGTTGTGAAACCAGTAATACATTGTTTGTAATTTCAAATTCACTATCAGGTTTCTCTGTACGACTTGCTTGAATCATGTTATCAATTGACTGTTTTTTATTGTCAATTTATTCGTTCTTCTAAAACGATATTCACAAAAAAATAGAAAGCAAATATCAATGCTACTTGTTAAGGCAGGTGAAAATAAAAGATAATAAAAGCGAAAAAGAATTCTTTTAAAGTTTTAATCGATCTACAGGTAAATGTTATCAACTAACAAGTTCATTTGATGAATTTATTATTTTATTTACAGATAATTATGAGTCAAATGTGTTGACTAAAATCTTTTCTATGTGATTAAAGAAGTTTTCCAGTCAATAGATTTATAGAGAAATGTTTCAGATTAATTGCTACTTTAGAATATTTGATTATTTGAAAAACAATATGATAATGACGAAATGTCTTCTTTCTTTTTCTTCTTATATATATATAGACTTCGTCTTCACTAGAAAATTTAATGTCGAATTAAATTTTAGTGATTGGTCGAAAGATTAATTTGGATTTACTACATTTCAAGAGATGAATGAAATCTAATACACCAATCAAGAAAGGACTTGATTCACTAAGTAAAATAATGAACGCATCTCGATGGATTCACATTATGAACATGGGCAGCGACAAGTACTTGACATAAATACACCTCAAATTATATTAAAATAAAGAATGAAAGATAATAATGAAGAAAATAATTTTTGAGAAATTTCTTTTTTTTTTTATGTCGTATTTTATCAGGACAATAAATTCATGCGTAACCAATTACGAAATTGATTGATGCATATTATTGAGTCGAGACAGACGACAATTTGTTTTGTGAAACGTAATAGAATCATGCATTTCTATTAATGGCAAGTGTCGAGTTTTAATTGATGGATTAAAGTAACGGATATCCACAGCAAAGAAGTACATCATAAACGACTGTATTCAGGGCTCAGTGTTATGATCGTATATTTCTATGTTGTATAGAAAGAAAAAAGAGACACTTGTTTGCTCGCTTTGCACACAGCAGTCGTTATACCGTGTCTAATTTGCCTTTTATACGGTCACGGTCGTAGACAATAGTAACATTGAGACATTTGATGTGGTTATACACAGTGAAATACGGCGACTTAAAGAGAAAAAAAAATGCACACTCACTTAGTTGTATACACGACAGTCGTATTCGATCTTCATTATGCTTCGTATGCGGTCAAGGGTATATAAAATTGTAATACTGAGCCAATCAATACGGTCGTGTATGAAAAAATGCAATCATTTAAGGAGAAAAAAATCGCTTGTTTACTCGTTTCGTATACGGCCTCCATTTACTTCGCATATAATCGTATTGCTCTGTATGTGACTGCAAAGACATACAGCTCTAGAACCATGAATCCTAAAACCGAATCCTTTAGAATTGGATCAGATATCTTATAGAATCCGATAATTTCTCATCGGAAGTTATCGAAATTCTCCGTATAGGACATTGAGCAGCATTAGTTGAATTCTACAGCTGGAAAACATTCGATATACCTGAGACCTAGAAGGGTCTGGTAAAATCGTGTTGTATTTACATCTAAATACCAGATACTGTGAAACTTCTTCTTTAGTATCGTTCCATACTCTCCTTATAGCTTGAAGCCGGTTGACAAAAAAAACAATTTAAAATGCACTATTCTTATTTCTTATTATATTGAATTGTTGAATAATCAATCTAAACAAAAATTAAATGCATAACAGTAACATCAAGATTTTTGGCCACGGGGAGAGTTGAATCTCTCTCTTTCTGTGGTGCTGTCACTGGAAACATAAACGATTGTATTTTTTAAAGCTTATTATGAAACTAATGTTTTGAGTGATAATTCTAAATCAATATTAAAAAGGAAATAAAACTTCTGTTTTAGCTTATCTAGACTTACACTTACTCAATGATACATCTGTAGAAAAAAATTACAAGAAAAGTATAATATTTAAAATCAGTTGCCATCATATAGAAACTTTGATTGAATACATAAGTATGAAAATAAACAATATAGTTTTTTTTTCCTACTTATTGTAAAATTAAAAGATTGAATGATTAAGTTAAAGCAGGATTAAAAAACAAAATAAATAAAAATGAGATAAATGAAAGCGATTTACTTTAAAAAATCAATCTATCATTGAATAAGATTAGGGTTTTGTTTTTGGTTCAACAACGTTTACCTGACTCGACTAGTCCAAAATGATGCTATTATTGTTATACCATTCTAATCACGTGTTAATCTATTTTATGCATCGAAGTTGAGAATGATACAGCTTCGTCATAAAAGTTATCACAATTATATTATAATATTGCTTAATAATCATCAACAGTAAAACTACGTAGTTTAATATCATTGGATTTCGTCAGAATGAAAAAATTCCTACTCTCAATTATGATCGAATCATATCGACGAGATGTAGTGGTATTCGACTGTCGGGTAGTTCAAAATTTCGATTGGATGATTTCAGCCTGGGGTCACAATTAGGTGTCTGCAAAGTGGTTTCGGTCCCAGTGAAACCGGGACCGAAAATAAATTTTAAGGTTGGTCCCGGTCTTTTTTTATTTCGAAATAGACTATAAATTTTCATGTTTGTTTTCTTGTTGTGACTAAGAGGATCAAGAAATCGTCCATTTGTTTTTACGATTTCGGGAATTCTTTCACATATCTCGGTCGGCTCATGCTCAGAAAAGATATAATTTTGGTAGAGACAAAGCACATACAAAAAGCAAGCAGACATGCTTAATAGCAATTTGTATACTTATTGTTCATTTTCATAAAGATTTAACTATTTATTGATGCTCTATATTTCTGACTGTCTATATACTTAATCGTTCGTACTACTTAATCAATTTGCAGCACTACTTAATCGATATTCATAGTTACGTAATATATATATACATATCTATTTAATATTTATTGGTAGCCATTTATTTATTTTTGTATATTTGAAGCTATTGCACTACTCAATCCTATGCAATATTTAAAGATTTCCAACTCCACTGAACAAATATTCAGATCTATTTATTAAACACTAAACTACTCATTTATTCTTACTGACTTGTTTCGAGCAAGGGCAAAAACAAAGAAAATTGCTCAATGAGCTACTCTTCAATCTATGAGCTTTCTTAAAAACTGAGCATGTATAGTTGTCAATATGACTCACAGTTTGAAAGATATGCGTTGTATGCTAAGTAGATTTCCATATTCTGGTAGAATGAATGATTGCATAGTCAAACTAAATACAGTGAAGTCTCTCTAAAGTGAGCACGATCGGGACTATTCAAAGCCGTTCACAATAAAGAGGTACTCACTTTCGAGAGGTTCACTTTGAGCAAAAGATGATTTTTCGGACTGCTTAAAAACGCTCACAATAACGAGATTTTCACTATAGGGAGATGCTCACTATCAGAGGTTTTACTATAGTTCAAATTATCAGCTACAAATGACAGGCAGAGAGATATAGTTATTTAAATTATCTAAAAACTGAGTTTATTTTTCTTGAATAATTTTGACACCTTAAGAATAAATACGATAATATTTTAGAACGTTAGATTTCAACTGCTTTTAACATAATGCAGAGCAATAAACCAAATAATAATACAAAAGTTGCAACAATTTCAATCATTGAATAGCTATTTACATTCTGTTAGTTAGTTATTTAATTCATTTAAATATCTATGAAAAATATTTCAATCGTTACGATAATCCTTAAATAACGGTAGAAGTTCGGTAGCTAGGTTCTCGAAGAAGTACAATACAACATTTTTTTAAAATGAATGAGCTACTTAAATCATTTTATTGCTGTATAAGTCGTTTTAAATAGGTCTGATAAAATAATGGAAAGAATCTCATCTGTAATCATTGAAAGCAAAAAGAGTCATCGCATTATTTTCATTACATTGCAAAAATTCGACATAGATACTTGATTTAAATGAGTGGTAAGAGAAAATTGGATATGTAGCTGCGTGATTATTTCAATGGTGGCACTTAATAATAGCGTACATGAAAGAAAAGATAAAATTGATTGTGTTCTCTTATATTTATTACGGAAGGCAGCTTCTATCTTCTTCATTGTAGCCAATGTTTTTCAATTATTAGTAAGTGTACACTTCGAGTAAATATCCTCTTCTTAAATCAATTCTGAAGCAAATCGACCTCTGTTCTAGCAAAAAGATAAATTAATCTGCTAGTCTCAACTCTCGATGCTAACCAATCGTTGAGATTAGAATTTTAATGAATAAGAATAGCTTAAACTTGCGTTTTGATTAAAATAATTAAGCGAAATTCAGAGTTTATTTTCACCGACGCGTTTCGTGTTTTTTATTAACATAATTAAACACTCTTTATGATTCTGTATTACAAGAGTAGTACAAAATTGAAATGTACTAAAGGAGTTCATGAACTACAAAGAAGAAGCCAATAGTAAGATACCCATAAAAGGAGGAAACGGGGAAACAAAATAAAAATAAATGAACAAAAAGCCGAAAATACACGATGAGAATTAAAAGGTTTGAGAATAACAATTTTTGCTTTTATGACGACATTCAATATTTTCGCAGTATCCTGAAGCCCTCACACCGTTCCTTAAGCAACTATCGAAATGCTCTGTATGGAGCTTGAAATTGAAATTTTACGGCATACTCATCTTCGCCGAAACGCACTATATTTGACTTTGAATCCATATTATTTGAGTATTAAATACAGACCCTCATCTTCAAGATAGTTTTTGAAAAAAATAATAATAATTATGTTAGAAAAATATCTATTGTCGTCTATTTATCTTTAACTAAACTGTTGCCTTTGAATTCATTCAATATCTCGAACTCGTTTGAAATCATTATGACTTAGATCGACTGCTGAAAACTAAGAGTCATAACTAGCAGATTAATTTGTTTTCTTCGTCTAGAGATAGGTTGATCTAATTTCGATTTGATTTACGTACACTCTCATCCTAAAAGATAAAACAAGCAGAAACAAAATAATTATATTTCTGTTGTGCGAACACTAGTCAAGAGATCCTATTTTTCGTAAGTGTCCGCAAAAAAACTATATAAAAATTACAAAAAATGAGATATATAGGTGTCACACATAAAATTTCAGTACATTCTAAAAAAGATAATATATTTAAACTATTCCTGCAGAAATGAAATAAATGGATTGTATTATTCTGATTATTATTGATGAAGGACAAGAGTTCACTCTATTTATGAGATAAAATGATAGAACAAAAAAACCACGTAATGTATTAATAAATACAGCAACTCGTAATTCTTTTACTGCGATAAGGATCGATCCGTGAGATAATCTTGAAACGTATAAAGAAAAAGCATATGTTATTATAAGAACCACAATAGAAATAATAGAAACCAGTTAGTTATAACGATAACAGAATATCGTTTGCTTATGCAGTTTGCCGTCTTTCTTAATTTTTGGCTAACTCACTGACGATGAGTTTTTATAACAAACTACTAATATGGACTACTTTAGCTTCTATAGTTACTTACACTCGAACAAGTAGTTGCTTACCAGGGGTTCTTGGTACTTATGGATTCTGTGATTCAACAACAACATGTGTCGAAATTTCCTACACCACCATACTTTTTGTTGCCCGAGATCAAATGTATGCTTTAAAAGAACTGAAGGGAAATTTCTCATTTATTGACTGGAATTGTATATTGAGAAATCCGATTCTTTGTTTATGTTTGAATCGTACACAATCGTTTCCAATTTATGCACCACGCGATTCATTTTTTGAATGTGCCATTGCTGATATTCAAGTCAAAGCGAAACACCAAATTTATAGTAAATTTTTGTGCTGTAACAGATTTTTCTTTTCTAACTATTGTTCATATTTTTTAGAAACGCTATGTAAGAGACCTATCCGAATTGGTCGCTGTTTATATCGTTCACGAGTCGACTCTATTTTGATGTGCTTCATAATTCCTGCAAAGAATTTATGTCTATAGCGATTGTATTCCCAACCGTGCTGCATTTCTCACTCGCAGATTTTGTGAATACACATGCCAACTTTGATATTGACTAAATACAACAGTTCTAATAAAAAACAGTACCAATTTATTATTTTTTGCTTTTATTTGCTTCTTTGCTTTATGATTATCATCTTCTTTTTGTCACGATGATGATTTCACAAGAGTTATAATCCTAGAGTATATTTGTTGCTTCCGTAAAATGAGTAATCTTTTTACTAATTTTGTTACGAGTCAAATGACTAAATTCTTTTGAGCAGTTTAATTTTTGAGGATTGCTTTCCTTCATTAATTGTTTCAAAGCATCTAATTAGTCAAGATTTGTTAGATTTACTCTTACTGATTGGTTGGTGTGCATGTTTTATTTTAAAATTACAATTAAATCAGTTCAAAATTATGTTGAGCATTGAGTTAAATAAATAATAATACAGCAACATGTTTACTAGATACGAATTTATTAGATTTGGATAATCGAAGATGCCTTAGCCGAAAATTCAATAGAAGTGTACAGATTTTAATATTTTTCCTTTTTCTCTCTTTCTTTTGTGACGTTGCATATATTATAGTGAGAGAAAGGAAGAAGACAAATAGTCCATCTCGAAAAATGATAAATAAACTCGTATTCCTACAACTATCGTTTATTGTGATCTCTTTCATATTTTTCTCTTTTGAAACGTTAAACCCAAAAACATATAATCAATGCAATAAAAAAACCAGAATGTTTGGTAATGCTGGAAATAGATGATTTTACGAATTAATACTTGCAATACAATTATAAGTACTTCGCTTGTGATGTTGACAGAAAAAGAATAGCTGTGTCTCAATTGGTGCATGTTCGTTTGCTCGAAATTGTACTACCTAACTATCTAATATGGTGAATGATAGATCTTGAAGAAGTTGACCTGTGACGTCACGTGGATATGCAGAGACATGTACTGATTGGCCGAGAAACTGTATTTCTTGGTAATTGAAGTCGCCTTCAACCATCGACAGTAAGAAGTAGACAGGTGGTTGTAACATGGTTCTAAGTCGCTGAAATGTTTATTCGATACAGTCGCGGCAAAGCATTAGCAACAAGAAAAAAGCTACAATTGCATGAAATGATGCAGGAACAAAGGTGACGTCGGAGACATCTACCTGGAGGAAAGTTGCTGCTTCTACATTACGTTTGGCGATTCGCATCATTTCTGCTGAGATATCGATTCCGGTCACCTGATGCCCTGCATCAGTCAAGAGTCGTGCAGTTGGCACACCTGTGCCTGAACCTACTTCTAAGATATGAGAGTTCGAAGGCAACCGTTGGAGTAACCAATTTACAGCAGTAATCTGATTATCATTCAGACTAAAGACTGCTTCATATTTCTCGGCAATATGGTCAAAAACAGCCGCTTGCTGTTGTGTTTGATGTGGAAATGACTGAGAAGCCATAATAATACTAAATTTTGTGGCTAGAGTATTACGGGTATTGTGATATTTTTGTCAAACTAATATTGGGTTTATCTCTCTCTCCTTCTTTATTCATCACTATCTCTACTATCATCCTCATAAGCGCTTCTTTGTCCAGGTGTCGGCATCACTCGATGATAATAAAATTTATTAATTTTAGTACTCTCAGCAAGTTTATATTTCGCTATTTGGTTTGTTACAATAGAAAATTTGTGCGATTTATTTATCTGGTCGACATAAGAATAGTTGTTTGGATGAATGGTAAGTAATGAGCAACAGTGAACGATAAATCGCACATATAACACAAGCTCTGAACATAATTTTTCCTACTGCTCGAATATCTTACAAAATCAGTAATGAATTGAATAAATTCCTTTTCATGATCCTATGATTTTCTCAAATATTTATTTTTGTTTTGATTTTAAATCTCAACGAATATCAAAGATTATTAATAATCAAAAATCAATTGAATTATACCGCCAAAGTATAAAGAAAAGAATCTAGATGGATACGACACATGCTTCGGACTAAAGACCAAGCATCAGAAAGAACGCAAAGAAATGCTTGTAGGTGAGTTCAACTTTATACGGTAGCAATAAACCCGATATAGATTTGACATGCATCGGCAAGAAATGCTTTACGTTCTTCTTTTGCTTCGGAATCAACTTCTACTGGAACCCATTGAAATGTTTTAAAGCCAACTTTGCGAAACAGGTTTTCAAATGTGGCAGCAGTATACCAAAAGTCAGTAAGAGTGAATTCGTTCTCTGTGTCAGCGTCGAATGTCACACAGTATTTATCTTCATCGCTCGGGTTGGTGGGACCAATATACTTTATTCCATATTTCTCCAGAGTGTGAGCGTTTTTGGGGTCAAAATAAGGATTTGAAATAAGACCAAAAAAGAATTCGGTACAAAGTCGACGAATTCGAGCTAACATCTGTTGCAGTTCATTCACAGTTGCTAAATGGCACATCATGAACGTTGACATGACCAATGGAAATGTACCGATTGAATTAATTGTACTTTCAAAATCTTCTTTTATTGTATGATATTGAAAATGTTCTTGTTCATGTTGTTGTATAGAATGTTTAGCCAATTCAATCATATCTTTCGATACGTCAATCCCGACTGCACTTTTAACAATACTGTCGTGCACCAGCATTCGCGTCATAAAACCATCACCACATCCAAAATCTAACAACTGTTCGATTGGTTCTGAGGAAAGCGCTTGAATGCAGCGGACCATTTTTTTCAGATTGAATGCATCAATTAATAGACGTGATTCATGAAAGTATGAACACTTCGCATATTTAGTTGCGATCATCTTTTCATCGTAATGATGTGTATAAGATTTTTCTGCGGTATCCATCGTGCACAAATTTGATAAAAAGAAAGAATGTGCGAGTTAGTAACGCTACGATGCAACTATTAACGTGATATATTCACGCTTCAATAAATATCATTCACTATGATTTCTAGCCTTTATATAGGTGAACGGCACACGTCAATCACAATAAAGAGGACACCTATAAAGCATTAATCTTTCATGCAAACTGTACCACCAATGGAAAAAACAGGTTCTAAATCTGATAAAACTTACCGAGAGCGATTATGTTCTACGCAATTCTCGCGGTTCCTTAGTTTCTGATGATAGTAAAAACAAAGTTGCAGATAAAGAAAGTTTTTTTTATAAAGACCTACACCTCTTCAAATATAACTCAAACAAAATAATGAATTATATACAAGTGCTCGATCTCCCAGAATGTGTCATTTGGTGTATATTCACAAATATCCTACTGATTACGTTGAGAAGCACTGTATAGAATTCATTCGGGAAGTTCTTTCTTTCTTTAATTACACATTTCGAGTCCTTATGTTGTTATACGATCATCTCGAGAACAGAGACCGCCTCGAGTTCTTTGAAAAGTCTTTCATGAATTTGTGATCGGTATATGATACAATGTTTTTAAATTTTCTGTAAACATTCCGTTGGTCCAAAATAAAATTTGAATATTATAAATAATTAGTGAATTAGTTTTAATTTTATTTATTTCATGTAGGAAGGATTTAGCGCTGAAGTTAGCAAAAAAGAATTATCCTTACCAGTAAAGATGATACCTCATTAGACAGCTGTGAAGATGTTTTTATTATGAGTAGACCAGAACTTATTTGATATCTTTTAGCCATTTTCCGTGGCTTAGTTACTTCTTAAAATGTAGAAGTGAGTCTATAAGCATGTCTTTAAATTTATTTTAGAGGAGTATGTTATTTTACGAAACAACAAACGTGTAAACTTCAATTTTCCAAGCGATTTGAAGTTATCATTGAGTAGAATCTTCCTTGTCGTTTCATCAGCTCTGCATGAGAATCAGTTTCTAACAAATGACCAGTATCAAGAACATATATAGAATTGCGCGAATCAATGGTTGGGAGATGATGAGCAATGATAACGATTTTCCGATTGCACAGTAGGCCCCAATGTGGACATTTGGTGAAAAAATGAAAGTGATATTTTTCGCGATTTCAATAATGTTCAATATACTTTAACCAATTGCCGATTTTTTAGTAAGCTTTTTTTTAATTTTAACTCTTTAGGGCATCGAAAAAAGCTTAGGTCCAAGAAAGGGCCTGATTTCTGTCATCTTAAAGAAAAGTATCTTGCTTCAAAGAAAGTAGGATGATCCAAAGAATAAATCATGCAGATTCTGAAACTAGAGCGCTTTCTCTATCGTTCTATGACAATAACTTTGCTCTAACAGTCTCCCTATTAGAAAAAACATGCATTCTTTCTCAACTGACGGTTTTCCAAAAAGACGTGCTTAGTGTAGTGGGTGCGCACATTTAAGCTCAGTTTCAAAACGCACGAAATTTTCACATAATGTTTAAATCTGCCTGACACATCTACTCACTTAGCGTAAAGATGCGTAAATGCTCCTGAACTGGAGTAGAGGTTTTACAAAAACCTCTGATTCTTCAGATTATTCTTTATTTTTCTTTGGGTTAGAAGTACTTCAGACAAAACTAATCACATATTCGGAATCAGCACGAGAAACTGCATTGACTTATGTGCCTTCCAACGACTTTGAAGTGAAATCACTTTTCAGCAAAATCCAGTCATACATGAAAATCCCAGTTTTCACTGCTTCGTCTGCAATGACGTGACACTACGAATCAGCAAAGATCATTCACTAGGTTGATGATGCTCGGTTATGATACAGTCCGGAACAATGGTAAGATCTTGGATCTCTGGATTTTGTTATCACAATCTAGGTGTGAGGGTACAGTCGAGATGATTAATTCAGTAGGAAGCGAAATGCTACATCCCCTCTGGCTCACAATGCAGCTTGTGAGTAGTGTCCTGCACGGGTACTACTTTTTGCACCCGGACCCGATCCGACTGATTTTTTTCATACCCGGCACCCAACCGGCCCCGATCACTTTGCACCCGGAACCGAAGCGGACCCGATCAGTCGTACCCGGTACCCGACCCACCCGACCCGGCCTTCAAATAATAAGCATTTGACTTATATAGTTANAAACAAAGCAAGAAAAAAAATTATAGAACAATATTATGTGCTATAGCATTAATTTGATCAATATTGTTTTGATGAGGATTAGAAACAAGATTAAATAATCGTTGATCAAGATATTGATACTTCTTTTTTTTATTAACTGGTTCGCCAGCATTGGTTTGAACGATCTTTGTATGGATATTCGAATCTTCTTCTAATATAATTGTTTTAGTAACAGATTCATTACATGTATGTATACGAAAATGACAATTAAAATTTTTATGATTTTCACAACGCCAATAAGTTTTTGTATCAGTTTGACGATCTTGAATATATGAGAAACGATCCAATACCATTAACGGACGACCTTTTGTAGTAGTAATGAAACTTGACTTGACTTAATATATGTTAAATTTGAAAGTTGATTTCAAGTACTCATTTGAATGAAGGTGAGGGCGTAAAGAGTGACTAGAGGACTTCATCTCGAATACTTGAATTGAATAGTTGAATACTTGAATACTTGAATTCAGCTTTCAATTTTGACACTATTGACTGTTTTGTATATAATTAGTCTTAAAATAAAATTTATCCTCATCAAATCTATTTTACTTGGACAAATAGACCGAAATTAATAAGAATTGATGAATAAGATATCTGTGTATGGGAGATGATTTAATCTACTATTAATACAGAATATTAAAACAAAACTTTCTGTTCGTCTTATAAAACATAATTCTTTCAACAAAATAAAAATAGCAACCAATAGTTATGCATGTTCAACATATCACATATTTTGAATGACAAAATACAGGAAGTGAGAGAGAGAGATAATTTCATTCAATCATTTGTTCATTGTTGATTCAGACTATAGAATAGATATATCATTATTCTCATTGCCGATATCGGTGAAATACATATTCAAATCCAAATAACATAAAATACGTCAAAACGTAGAAAAATATGGAAGAATTATTGATTAAATTAAATGATTTACCGGATGAAATTCTTATAATTATTTTAAAAAATTTATATAATTTCGAAACATTCTATTCTTTAATAGGTGTTAACAAACGATTCAATAGAATTGCACATAATTCTATATTTACAACTCATTTAACATTGATGACTTTCTTGAACGATTCCATCTATTGTTTGCCTGATTTAATACTCGATCGATTTTGTTTACAAATTTTACTAGAAATTCATTATAAAATCAAATGGCTTAATCTTGAATCGATATCTATGGAACGTATTCTTCGTATTACAAATTATCCTAATTTATATGGACTTGGTTTATATGGTATTGATGTAGAAAATGCTATATCTCTCTTTATTAGTAAGTTATTATTTTTCTATTATTTGAATTTTAAATAAATAAAAATTCAACATTATTCTTTTTTATATTACATTTATAATATGGTTGAGTAGATAATTGAGCTATCTATAGTATAAATTTCTATATTGCATTATTAATTTTAAATGAATTGAACAAATCAAGAATACGATTTGATTAATACAAAAAGAAAAATTAGTTTATTTCTCTAGAGATATTTATTTTTATTTAGATGATTCTATCTTGACATATGTAAACAAAGATAAAATATTATCACTTGTTATCGATATAAGTAAAAATAAAAAAAAAAGTTTTTGCGTGCAAATATGAGTACAATTGTATTTCCACATATCTTTACTATGTTTATCAATTTACAGTATTTAAATTTTGGAATGTTTTCGATTTCCTATGAAAAATTATCATTTGGGATGTCACCTCCAAGTTTTACTTCAAATCTATTAGAACTACATGTTCGTGTAAATTATTTCACTGATTGTCTGTACTTACTTGATAGGCGTTTTAATCAACTTCATACATTTAATGTTAATATTGATAGCATTTGTTCTACCACACTTTAACAATCAATAATAAAGTAAATTATTTTTGGTTAATATAAAATCTATCGAAATAAATTTTTCTAGGAAAAATTACCTAATCTAAGATGTGTTTTTCGTTGTATTGTGGTATGCGTACACATGATTATGATAAATTAATTATACCATTATTACATCGAATGTTGAACTTAGAAAAACTTGATTTACAACTTAATAATGTCTTTCATAATGAAGGATTTATTGAGGAAAATTCGTTAAAAGAAAATATAATTAATTATATGCCGTGTTTAACTAAATTTACATTTAATATTCGTTTATTTTATCCTTCTAATTGAACTAATTTACCTTCAAATAAAGATATTCAACAAACATTTAAAGATTTTAAAAATAATCAAATTATTTCTTATGTTAATTATTTTGAAAAAAGAAAATATGGTTACGGTCATATTTATTCTTATCCATATAGAATGAAATATTATGATAATGTCACAAATAATTTTCCGGGCGGATTATTTAAATATGTTGCCAGAGTAACATTATATGATGATCATCCATTTGAATATGAATTTTTTGTTCAAATTTCTTAATCATTTCCAAATATGAAAAACTGAACTGTAATTAATGATAAACCGCAGAACAATAAATTCTATAGAAAATCAAAGAATGTCCATACTCAAGATTTATCAATTATTGAATATCCTCATCTTATGTATCTTCGTCTTTATCAAGCTCATGATGATTATGTCGAACAATTTCTAATTGATACGAAAATATGTTTGTTGAATGATATCCATCTTCATGTTAATTATGAAGCACTGAAGAGAGTTACAGAAAATTTTATAAGACATGCAACATGAATAAATTGTGCTAAACTGTGTTATTTATATCTTAATAGTCAATATAAAATTACTTTAATTTGTAAAAGACTATTTCCCTCAGATAAATATAGTTTGATCATTTTTAGATTTCTGTAATACTATTCTAATTCTTATGTTCTTAAGTTTTCTCAATTTTTAAAATAACTATTTTGCAGCCTTTGAGTTATCACAAGTTTATATGATTTTTTGAAAGCTTCACGAGATTCTCTCGAATGTTCCTATACAGAAAATTTTCTACAAACCAGTAAGACTACACTTAACTTGTGCTAGGCCACTTGTATGGCCGCAAAGACACAAAGGTTTTCGAAGACTTTTTTGATGCATTCAGTTTTGTAGATCTTTTTTTCACTGATCATTTTAATACAAAGATAACTCGATTTTCATCAACAAATAACGATGATGGGCTCAAAATAATAAAAAACATTAAATTGTTCTGGAGTTCTGAAGCAATTTGACTTTTTCACTATTTTGACCATAGTATCTTCATTCGTAGACGATTGTAGATAAAGCTCTACAAAATCGGATATGTCAAAACAAAAAGCTGTCAGATTTTTGGTTCTCTTGTAGCTTATTACTGATAGGAATACCCCAAAAAAAAAGCGGCAACCTTTGAACTGAAGTATATATAGTGCTAGATATCAAGTGTGGTAATAAGCTGATTATTCATGAATAATAACTTACAACTTTATCTATTATCAAGAAAAAAATTAGTTTATTTCGTCACAGTACAATTGAGAGGTATTCCATTATTTTTTTTTGTAGATTATTTCTCTTACACCCGATTTATAAATATATATAACAGCGAATTGATTCCAATTTGTTTCAAAATACGCATGTACTCTTGGATTTTGTATTGGAATAGTTGATAGAAAAAAATGAGCTTAATTTCCATATTAATATATGTGACTTATGTAAAAATGAATCATACTAATTTATTTACAGTCAAAAATACTACATGATTGATAAGATTGGTAAGAGAAACATGTCATAATTTAAGACATACAACCATAAATATCGCGTAGTTTTTCCATTATTTTAGTTAGGATAATTGCGATTTATATACTTATAAACAACCTGTTATTCAGTTCTTTGAAGTAATACTATTTTTATGATTTTCTTCAATAGGAACATTGACATAAATCAAAAATTTGTAAATATGATGATTAAAACATATGTTCTTAAAATCTACAATAATTGTTGCCTCTAGATAAATACAACTGATATTTAAAGCGCTATTACTAATAAAAGATATCTTTTTACTTGAGAATCACTTAAGATACGAGAGAATAATCAAATACAGCAACCGCATACCGTTATTATAACTAATTGCACAGCGGTAAGATCTCATTAGTTGACAATTTTAACTATTTATTACAAAAATATTAAATCAAAACCTCTATGATTAAAATAGGCATGGTAAATCTTTGTCTGTTATTAACATTTCGGGTGCTATAGTTTGGTTGAAAACGAAAATATCGCAGAAAAGAATCATCCAAAAAAAAAACATTACATTTGTATGTTATGTCCTTGGAAGTACACTTGATGCATAAATAAAAGAAAATTGTCAGAAGACTTGATGATAGCAGCGAATGAATAGTTTATTAGAATATTTTCAAGATCAATGGTTCATAAAAGTTTCTATTTTTCAATGGAATGTACTCCGTCTGATTCTAAGAAATAATAATAATTCTAAGGATATTCACTTCCTTCTATGTATCTATCTATCTGTCTTTAGGTATGTATATCTTAATGTTTTATTTAGCATTGCACAATCGATGAGTATAAGTTAATTATTCAAATACTTGATGGTTTATCAAGTATGTTGAAGAAGACGAGATGTATTTTCATCAGTTACGTATTTTAATTTATGGCACAGGTTTGAATACAATAATTAAGTCATCAAAAAACAATTGCACTTAAGTGTCATATGGATCGTATCATAATGAACGATGGCATAATACTCATATAGATGTAATGGAATATTTAGATTGTTTATCATTTTTGATTGCCAAACGAAAAAAAAATGACCTTTTAATAACTTTTCTTTCTATATCTATTAACCTTCGGATGATTTGTATCACAATGTTAGTATTACATCATACAAGTAAAAAGCATATTTTGCCCGTGCAAAATTTTCTAAAGAGCTTTTTTTATTTCTTCTCCGATTATAACATATTTGCATTTTTCAGTGTATTGATCTATTTTGAGAAATCTTCTTCGACATTTTTTTCATTGTTTTTTTTACTTTACTTTTCTTTTTCTTTTTTCTTATTTTCATTTTTGATTAAACTTTGATGAATTTAAGATTTCACTGAATAACAAATTCATTGTTGATTGTTATCTAAGATTATTTTCAATATAAGAAAATATTAAGTATGCACGCAACTTCAAGATCAAGAATAGTTGTATATTAGATTAGTATGATCAGTATCTTCGAACATGAAAACACTTAAATATATGCCGAACTAGATTAGTTAGATTTAATAATAATGTATGCTTGCATGCATAATAATTCAAAAGTTTATTTTAAGTTGAATGTAATTTTCAAAAGATATATTATAGTGCGGTTACTTAATGACTATATCGAGGTCATTATATTATCTAATGACTTTGGAGAATAGAAACTAATATAAAAATAATCATAGATTTCTTATCATTTTCTTCTCTTTCTTATTAATCAAGATATCTATGAATATGAACTATATTCATCTTTCAAATAATTAGTTTTTTTTTTTAATCGTAAAAAATATCTGAATAATCAAATATACATTCATATCGATAATATCACCATCAAAAATAATTGTTTTAATACAAGTTTACAAATAGTCGACACATAAAACAAACGAACAAATAAAGGTCAAGTAATAAAAATCAATCAACACAACACAATCATTATGATAAATAGTGATAGTATAATTGCCAAACAGGCGCACCATCTTTAACACTATGAACAATATGTTCTTTATGATAAACATAAGAAGAAATGCATAAAGTAATTGAATAGCTTTTTTTTTCATTGAGTGCATTTTTCATTGTCTCCGGTGATGCGATATAATGATACATAAAATGCGAGTGACAATATGGAACTTCCATAATCAACCTAGAAATGATTGGGTTAACAATATATACCAGCTGGCGGCAATCATGCTCTTATGATTACCGTATGAGCTATTATGTATATCTCACTTGTAATCATATCTTTCAGCGAGAACACTGGAAAAGATCAATAAAGACATGAATACAACATACAAACGAACTCAATATACAGGTATTCATTAACCTTGTCTAGTGAAAAGAACTGTGAAACATCAGAAAATGTCGTGAGATCGCATACTACATCATCAACAATATGAATAATGTATAGACAGTCTAATGTCAAATATTGAGAAAAGTTCATGGTGAATAGAGAATGTACATGTTATAATAATGATATGCCTATTGAGAAAAGACGTTGTTATAAAAAGAAAAAAAATAACAACATATTGAGATAATTATAAAGAAACAAATTTAATGGCACTCAAATGATAGTAAAGTATTCAATATATCAGCAACTGCTGCATTCTATTGAAAAGATATCCTTGAAATATAATAGTCTGCAATGTCTTTTTTTCATATATTCATTCATCCATTCATCCAATAAAAATAATAGAAAAGATTGAATTTGTTTGTTCCAATAACATAGTAGAAACATATTTCATCATAAAAAGGTTAAAAAAAGAGTTAAGTAAGAGTTTTATTGCTAATGTATTTTGTTATTTTGATGTAAATCATCAGAAAAGATCTGAGCTTTATTACAAAATCTTGATTTATTAATCTTAGATAGATCGTGTTCATAGATTCAATGTAATCTTTACTTGTTCTTGCACACAGCCATAATAGATGACAATCGACACTGATTAATTAAAAAGATATTTTGTTATACATATGAATGAATATACATCACTTATGACACATGGAGTCAAGGTCGAGTTCAATTCCTATCAATATAGAAATCAATTTTATCCATCAAATTCATCATTGGTCGATAGACATTATCATGAAGATACATATTTAGCTATTAAAGAATCAAAAAGAACAAATATAAATATTGAAATATTTCTGGAAAGAGACAATTAAGTCTATAAATAACTATTGGTAATCATGTTTTGACTACTATTGAACGAGTTTCAACAATGCAATTAATTTGTTAGTCCTAACACGGAAATAGAAATACTTGACGGAAGTAGATTTTGATTGAGCGATAGATAAATTAGAACGGAAATTTTTAATAGATATAAATTATTCAATAGTTAATAGAACTTTCATCTGAGAAAAGTCACAACGAACAAACATTTCATAATTTAGATTATAAGATCTTCTAAAGTAATTTATTGACTATGAAAAATGAAATCTATAAGCCGGGAGCAAAAAAAATACATATATTTTTCTACGACAAAAATATATATAAAAATATAGTTTATCTATGTGTAATTATATCAGAGCCAAATAATTAAAGTATTGGTTGTACATTTATACGATAGGTTTCTAAGGACATTCGATCGAATCCAATTTGCTATAGCATCCGGTTCATGAAAATCACATTTTATTATTAGTGATCGTAAATTTTCAATTTGTTTCTTCTTATTACCAATAAATAATACTGTTAACAACCGATAACAATCTTCAATTGATGTTATGTTAATAGATATAATTTCTAATTGATTAAATAACTCATATATATAATCATATTGGTGAAAATCAACAAATAATTCATAAACAATTAACGATCGTATATTACTTTTTGATATATATGATGATAATCGAA